AGCAGGAATCTTAAATGTCAGAATTTCTCAGAAAAATGTATTACTTCTGCATTCAGTATAAGCATGGCTAAACAATTCTGAATAATTTTAAAAACCTTATGTAAATGGAGGTAATAAAAATACACCATACATAAATGTAGAGTATCCTGTAAAGGCAATCAAGAAGTGAAAAGAGAAAGCACATTAGATCTCCAAGGCGTCTCAGTTAAATATCCAAACAAATACCATCAGACACTTCCCTCAACCCTGAGTATCTGCCACTCAGTTTGTGTCAGTGGCGAGGCCTGCTTGTATGTCTTGTAAATGACTCTATACCACCCAGGATTACTCTTCCATATGTTTTTTTTTCTTTTGTATATAAAATGACAGCAGATTTAATCAGAAGCCCTTGCTGGTTGCTGAGGAAACAATATTTATATATTGATCCCTCATGTAACTTGTTCTTTCTTTAAAATAAGCACCCCCTCAACACTAGCACATTCATGCACAGGTGCTGGGGAAGCTTTCCAGCTGCTTAAGAACGCCTCTCTCCCTGTACAGTAGATTTTTTTCAGTATACTGTACTGAGACATTCCCTCAAATGCCACACTGACCCAGTTTCCTGAAGTTGTTGGTGATGCCGGAAGACAAGGGATTGCTTATCAGCGCCTAACTGTGAACAGTCAGTACTAAATATTATTTTGAAGGAAAGTGCTAGAGTTCCTGTAACAGGCTATTATAAGTAACGTGTGCACTGGAAATTTCTTCCACCTTTGCAGCAAATAGTGACTCGTAAAATCTTGACGCTGCTGAAGTCCTGGTGGAACCCTCTCGACTCCCCTGGGTCTAAGTCATACATTATTTTCAGTGGCACGGCCTAACTGACCTGTGGATATAAAAAACAAGAGCAACTGTATTACAAGAAAAAAATAAGCGTTGCTGCCTTTCAGTTTCACTGGATATCTCTTACCTGATTTTATTCTTGAACATCCTGTTCCCAAACACTGATTCAAACACCTCGAGTCTTCCCAAGTAAGGTAGGGATCTCTCTGCCAGATCCATCAGTTCTTTTCAGTTAGACGATAAATAGCAAAGGGTGCTCTGGCATTTCCTGCTCTAGAAATAACAAATCCAGCAGAAAGAACAACTTCAGAGTTACTCGTGTGTTGAAACCTCTGCAAAGCTACTTTTGGAGCTTGAGCAAAGGTTTTGATCGATTGGTGTTTTCTTATATCAAAGTTGACTCATAATCATGCTAATTGCACATTACTGTGGTCGGCCTACAGCTTCAAAAGGTTGTTGCTGCGATGTTACCTGTTTAGCTTCGTGCCAGCTTTGTGGAGCACAGAAGAAACCTAATGGGTATTGTTGGCTGGTTTCTGACACAGGTCCTTCGGTGTGCTGCTTTGGGAGATTTTCTCTCTAGGCTACATGCCCTACCCTTGCAAAACTAACCAGGAAGTGCTGGAATTTGTCACCAGTGGAGGAAGAATGGATCCACCAAAAAGCTGTCCAGGGCCAGTGTAAGTATTTCATTACTCCCACAAGCCATGGGAATAGGGGGTATCACACAGGTTGGACAGAGGCAATTAGACACCTTCAGTCAGAGAATGGCAACTGCCCCAGTGTTAGGTGGGTATTACTGGATGCCTCTTGAGCCGCTGCCTTCTGCATACAGCTTAGAGCACTGTAGGATTTGCTTTACATAATGGTCCCCCAGTGGCTTAGCATCCAAGGATGCCGAAATGACATGTCCACTGCTCTCCTCCTTTGGGCCAAGAACTGCGTGCAGTTCTCTGGAGCCATGAGCACTTCATACTGAAACACATTTTACATAATTATCTTTCTTGAATGATACTTTTTTTTTTTAACTTATTCTAAGGTACCGGATCATGACGCAGTGCTGGCAGCACAGCCCAGAGTATCGGCCAAACTTCTCCACCATCCTGGAAAGAATCAAGTATTGCACACAGGTATTGGTCTTTGGTATCCAGGTGGATGATAATCCATGGAATGCCAACTATCCAAAGGCACTATCTTCAGTGCCCAAAACAAGTGAAGAGTCCTGACAGACTGATCTAATTACTTTCCCATTTGTGGTGGTGCTGTTGGCTCAACTGCTTTTTTTCATTTGGGTTTTCCAGTATCCACCCTCACTATCCAATCTTCAGTATCCAACCAAATATCAATATCCACCCTCAATATCCAACCAAAATGAGATTACACTGTTCCTGTGCAAGTGGGTGCTTTCAGCTCTCAGCTTGTTCAGTAGCGAAATGTCCTTCGTTTTGGAATGGAAAAATATTTAGAATCTCTTTCAAGGCCCATATTCTGACCTTGCCTAATGTTGCTCGAAAGCCACAGCTTTTGAATTGACATGGAGCGGGGATGGGGGGAATGAGATGGCACGTTGAGTTCACCAGCTGGTAGCATTTTCCAGCTACCGGCCTGGATCCAACCTCGAGAGAGAGAAAATTACATACTGGTGACCCCCAGCTTAGACACCGATTTCAGTAGAGCACAGCCTCTGCTCAAAGGAAACACGTAAATGAGAGAGTATTTCTGCAAGTCCTAACAGCAAGCGATACCCAGCTGGCACATGGCACCTTGTACGACGGGCAGGAATATTGCCCAAACCTGATGTCAGCCTCTGCCAAAAGCTTTTTCACTCTCACAGCTATTTCTCTTGAAATGCAGGTGTGACAGCCACCCTGGAGCTGCTCAGGCTGTAACAGATTCTTCTCTCTCTCTTTCAGGACCCTGATGTGATCAACACTGAGCTGCCCATGGAGTGTGGCCCCGCACCAGAGGACGAAGGGAGTACGGTCATGCGCCCCACCATCTCCAGTGGGATAGTGCCCCTGTTGGTAAGCCCTTCCCTCACGCCACAGACAACGCCCAAGACGCTGGACTCCCACCATGCTGGGCATAAACTTGTACAGTGTCCACAAGAGCTGCTGGTGGACAACCTGAGCAGCCAGGCTGCTCAAGGGCCCAGCCCGCCATGCCTCAGCGATTTCAGCAGCAGGTCCTGGTGCCAGCAGGCCTCCAACCAGAAGTTGGAGCTCAGCAATCCGCCAACCCACAGACTTAAAAACAAAACAAAAAATCTTTGGAACCCAACCTATGGATCGTGGGTGCTAGAGAACATCTGTCACTTCAGCCCCAGCTCCAAGCTTAAAGCAACTCCAGAGCGGGAAGATTCAGGCTTTGATGGGAATTGCAGTTCTTCTAGCTCTCGGGCATCTCCAGCATCTCCGAGTCGAAGCAACTGCCCTCACCTGGATATCGGTGGGATTGAACTGGTGAAACTCCAGACTTTCCCCTGCGGCAATGTAAATTATGCTTATGATGACCTGTGCTACAGCACTGACCACCAGCCGCCAGCTTTGGCAGAGGTCAGAGCAGCTGTGCTAAGGAGCTCCAGCCTGCCTAGAGATGAAAAGCCTTTTTATAAAACAGAGAAAACATCAAGAGAGAGGGACTCCGGTCTGTCTTTGTCAGATGACCTGAGTGTTACTCCACTATAACAGACACGGTTCTTCCAAAGGTCAGGGAATGCATGTGTCTGGAAGGATCACTTCCTGTTTCACTTACTTCCTCCATTTAAGTTCCGTCAGATGGGTGATGTCTCAACATTGGTCTGCTTCCTCCTTCTACCTGCTGGATCCCCAGATCGTTAAAGACAGTTGCATTTCTGTCTCTGTCCATCAGATGTGTTTCACTGAACCAGCTTAGCAGCAGCAAACAGTGACATTGCTGCTCTGATTTGGAGCACAGTCCTTAAGGAAATGCCTCCTCAATCTGCTCAGGTGAAAAGAATAGGTCCTACCATCCAACTGCAGCATTTGGATGGAAATGATGGCCAGCACAGGCTGTGCTTTTATCTGACTGAAGAAACCAAAAATGCATGCTGTGCCAGCAGCAACCAACTTGCAGAGGCTGCTATATTCCTGAGAGCTTTTTACAGTCCTGATGACTTACTAATGATGCTCACACACTGCAAGGGAAGTAAATAAATATGCAGCCACATTTGCATCTGTTTTATTAGCAGACTCTGTGGAAAAACATGAAAATTAAGCTACTGCTCAAATTGGAAGCAGTAGGAAGGATGGAAAAAAAAAATCCAGGCTCCTCTGAGCATGTGCTTAGAAAACAAGCGATGAAGAGGAAAACAAATTTGCTGTAAAAAAAAAAACATAATAATAATAGTTGGTGGAGCTGGTAGAGTCCCTTTGAACAGTGAAGGAAATGTGCTGCTTGCCTCATGGTGTCGCTTCCTCGCAGCGCCTGGCGTGGAAGGGCCAGGTGGTTTTTTTCAGGAAAGGGTGAGCTGCATGGGGTGATGAGAAATGGACTGTCTTTATCTTTGAATGGACTTGACTCAGGATGAACGTCACTTTTGTAAGTACTTTGATATTCAGAAGTGATTTCCTGTGCTGTGTTGGTAAGCGCCAAGCTGAGGTTCTCGGGTAACTGTCTGGCATTTGGCACACCAGAGCTGTTCTTGGTTGGAATAGCTACTCCTCTGAGGGACAAACGAAGCGATGCAAGGGAGGGGCAGGGTGCGGGGGAGCCTAATACAAACGCTACCTGACAGTGACCTTTACACAGGAATAGCTCATCTGAGAAAGCTGAAACCACGACTTGGCTTCACACACCTGAGCCAGGTCATCACTTCCTCTCGCCTTCCAAGTGTACAGACTTGCTGGTAAATGTAGTTGTTTGTTTTGAAGACAGCTAGTTTCTAAGGTTTTCTTCTGTTGCTTAGGGTCTAAAACGATGTTTACTGTTAAGGCCTGTAAAATAAAGAGACTGAAAAAGTAAATAATTTGGATTAAGTTTCAGCAGTCTCTGAAGCATTTTGTCCTTGTCCCACTCTGAATGTTGCACTGCCAACCTGCGGTGGCAAATTACATGCTGCCCTCACGTCTGAGAGAGTCGTGTGGAGAGATGCGAGTCGTGGGCTCTGGTTCCTTTCTGAGGGAAGAGGTGCTCTGGTACAAGCTTCATGCCTATGTACAGTCTGAAGATGTGGGCTGGCAGGAGAGGGTTTGCTTTGACCGCACAGACTTCCTGTCCTCCATGTCATTCAGGGATGGACACTACTGAGATGTGGCACAGAAAAGCACAGAGTGAAGAGTCTGAATCCATCTTGAGCTCAGGTTTATGCTTTGTTGGTCTGACTTTGTGTCCTATCCAAACCTAAATAGTGGTGATGGCCACCTCTCAGCAATGACCGGTATGATATGGAAATAATTCCAAATTATTTGGGCATATGTTGGTGTTCAGAACAAGAGGGGTCCCTCTGTGCGTAGGCAAATTCCAGGAGTTGTGTGGGGACTGGTGGCCTTAGTAACCGAAGGAGATGGTTGCCCTTGCCTCCTGCCCTTCTTTCCATGTCACTGTTGCTTTAGCTCTCTGGGGTCTCTCCCGTTCAGCTCCTTGTCTGTCCTGGCCTATGTCCAGGAGCTGCTACAGCCCAGTTAGACGAGGCAGGAAAGCTCAGTTGGCAGCAAGTTTTCTCATTCTTGCCCCTTGCAGAGGCTGTTTTTTGGTCATGTTTCAGGCTGGCCACCTCTGGAAGATGCTCATCAAGAACAAGTACATCTACTCTTAGCTAGTTGGAATAACACCAGCTCATCCTTACCTTTTGGATTATGTTAGACCTACAGTTACACATTTGCAGTTTTTTCCCCAAAGGTGAGCTATCGAACTCTCTGACAGTTGTGCCTGGCTGTCAGCAACTCAGCCCCTTCCTCCCAGCCTATGTGATAAGGCCACAGCAGAGCGTAGTGATCCCACTTCAGCTGCCATGGATGTGACTCCCGATCGCTTGGCAACCCTTGCTTGTAAGAGGCTCTATCCTGAGCAGAGCACTGAGGGTCATGGCCAGGCTTTTACAGGCCCATTACGACTCTGCTTTCAATTCTCCTTAGTCATCGACACGGGAGGGAAATTGGTGGTGAGGAATGAAATACTGACTTGTTCAGAAGCCGTGAGAAGTTAACTATTCCACCTTTTCTTCCTGCAGATTATATTTTTATAAAGTAGAAGGCACAGGACTGTTCATTATTTTTTCACAGAGAAGTGACTATAAACCCCCCTAAGATTCCCGCAAGAAGCAGGTAGGATCCCTGCTGTCCCTACGGTCACCCACCTTGAGCTACTGTTGTTTTCCCCATACACAGCGCTTGCCTCAACTTAATTCACAAATTTAGAAAGGACAATAGTGATAAAACTAGATAAGCCATTGAAAAGTGAAGCTGAGCACAGTTCTGTTCCCAATGCCACAGGCAGTCTTGGCTGCAGCTACGCCTTCATTTTATAAATAAAACGCAAGTTCTTCAGGCCAACACTTTGGGCAAATACCTGTTTTTACTGAATAGCTCTGTCGAGGTACTTATTTACAGAAAGCGCATAGACAAAGCTGCACGGAGCCAGAATAAAGGTCCATCCTGCCCAGTATCTTATCTCTAAGTGACCAACAGTGGGGTGTTGAAGGTCAACCGTAAGAGGAGAGTGAGCATGTAGTGATTATTTATTTCCCAGACATACTTGGCTGGTTTACAACAGCATGTAGCTCAGGGATGTACTGAGTCAGACGCAGTGTCTTGTAGAACGTGGAGCTGCACATACCAAACGGGCACTAAGAGACAGGAATTTTAAAAGAATCTGCATTAGCAACCTAAGTTTTATACAAGCTCCTAACTCACTCCAATGGAACTAGAGGTTAAGGACCTTCTGTCAGCAGAGTTGTCGTGACTGTCTGACCTTAAGTTTTTCTGTGCATCTCTCATCCCTTAGCTGCTTTTAAAAACCATCACAAATAATGAATTTTTAATTAATGTCCTAGAGGAAATAATGCTGATACTGCTCCTGTTGTGATGCTGAAATGCTAGTTGCTGTCCAAAACATGTTATCTAAAAATAATAACAGTCACAAGGACGAATAATGCAACCTTCAGTCCGACAGTGCTGAGACTGAAACTTAACTGCTGTTAGATCACAGATTTCCTAGTGCTCGGCTGCTGCCATTTCAAAATACAACTTGCTTGAAACTGGTTTTTAATGAGATGCTTTCACTGCATAATCGAGGTGAACCCTCATAATCAATGAGTGTGACAATTCGATTACTTTGGCAATGGAAAGCCAAAACCCTGTTTTGCTTCCTAGAGGAATGACATGAGTGGGAGATCTGGGATTAATTCGGTCCTGTAATCCATGTGAAAAGTCTTCTGACACTTCCCCACTGGAGAATCAGTCATTTATAGGATTATTATAAATTGCTGTTCCTGATCTGTCTTTTAACATGTCACAAACCTGTTTTTTGAAGATTTATGTGTACATAGTTGTTGGGATTTTTTTTCTTCTGGGCTCAGCATCAGTACCTTATGTCGCTTCATATGACCTCACACCTACGTTTTTAAGAGGGGACTGAAAAACAATGAAATAATAATGCAAAGTTCAATTTGTCTTTCTCTGCTTTTCACATTTGTTGATATTCTTGCTTCTGCTTTCTTCATATTTTCTCTCCTCAACTTCAATGTTGTATCTTCATTTTCCCTTTAAAGAAACAGAATTTTCAGCTGCACAGATTTTAGGTGTCCCCTCACATCAACCCTTTTCCTCTCCACTGATCTGCCAATGGGCAGGTGTGCACCTAGAAATCTCTAAGCCTAATTAGACAGTTACGGGCTTTTGCAAGTGTCACTTACTTATTCCACCTCCAACAGCCTCCCACTACTTACCAGAAGAGAACGCTACTGCTGGGAGTACGGTTTTCCCCAGCTTACTTGTCTCTCCCCAGCCGTGCCAGGCAGGGACCACGCTTCCTCTGACCCTCGAGCAGCAGAGCTCTGCGAGACTGTGTCTCCTGTAGACACGGCCGTGCCCTCTCCTGCTGGCTACCCACTCTTTTCAATCTGACCCAGAGACATCATTAACATCTTCCTGTCTTGTCACATGACTTTTTCACTTAGTTGAATGGGTTTTGATTTGTCATCACCTCTGACCACGGCAGCACTTCTTGCTGCCTGACCTTTCAGGGCGACCGCTGCGTGTACGTGGATGACATGCCTGCTTCTATGCAACTGAAAGCTGGACGTGTGTATACTTCTGTATTCGCAACACAAAATAAAGAGACGCTAACGGTGGCTGTTTGTTTCCCTCTCTGCTGAGTACTCTTTGAACACGGGTAAGAGGACACTCTTGCCGAGAAGCGTTGCCAGTCCTGGAGTGTCCCTGCTTGTTCCCTGCTGCCACCCAAAATGGCCCCGTGGAACAGTTAACCACTCCGAGTCTGCCAAGTGCCTTCTGGTGTACAATTTTTCGATATGCTGTAGGCTATGAACTGAGACAGAGCTTACCCTGGAGGAAGCTGTTCAAGCTTTGTGTGGCTCAGGTTCTACAGCAAACGTACCTAATGGGTTTTGGAACCAAGCTCCAACATTAGCTTCTACATGTCTCAGAACCAGTTTATCAGATGCTAAAGACTGAAAGCACAAGAAACACTGAAACAGTTTTTGTCCCTTTGTGAAGAAAAGTCTTGAAGTAACGATGTTGCTGTCCCATGACCAAATCACAGTGGGTGTCTTTTTTCCTTCAGTCTCATTTATTTAGTAGCATACACACTTCAGAGTAACAAACACTCAACCAATACAGTCAATGTCAAAAATGACCATGGTCAGCATTGCATTGTAGTGTTCAGAACGGATGCACTGTAGATGATACAGGCCCTTTGATCTCAGTACCTTAAGAATAACATCAACAACAGCAATAAAAAAAAAAAGAAAATAATAGCAAGAGCCCTCTGAGATACTTAAGGGTTTGGTCCAACTCCCATTGAAGTCTTTCCCTGTAATAGGAACTGGATCTGATGTTAGGTGAATTTCTTCCCTGTGTAAAATGAAGAGGGATTTAATTTTTACCACTTTGGTTAAATTTTATCCAAACTTATATCCTTGTGGGCCCCCACCACCCATCATTTTTAAACTTAGCTGATGCATCTTTGTTGTGCCTTTTCTGTATTGCACCTTCCTCCAAAAAAATCTCACAGCATCTTGCTATCAGTAGCAAAGGACAGCCTCATACCATTCCTGTAAGCAGGTACTATTTCCACCTGTAAAATGGGAACAAAACTGAGGCCTCCGATAGTTGTCCAAGGCCAAAAACCCAGTTACTGACAAAGTTGAAGGAGAGCAGTCACACAGGAACACAGCAGCTACAGCAGTAAGCATTGCTGCACCCAACTAGTGAGTGTAAAGACCTCGGTGCCCAAGCCAGAGGTTAGCTGTTCAGCACCACGCTGCCTGCGGGCCAGCGTCTCTTACCACGCTGTGAAAACACGTGCGCTCTCGGTGTCTCTGGAGCAAGGCAGTATCTCAGTGGAGGCATTAAAGAACTACATGCTGGACTTGCATGTGTTCACCAAGCACTTTGGTTATTGTGCATCAGCTCTTCTCTCTTACACGCCCGTGCAAAGGCAGCGCGTTGACCCTCTGGTAAATATAAGCTTAGTGAAGGCAACTTACTCCATAGTGAAAGGCGGCTGTGCTGCTTCCTCACACCAGCGAGTGAGCATACACAGACAGGCCCTCTGGGCCACCTGCTGTGATTCAAGGTATCTGACAGCCTGTGGTAGTTTGCTCATCAGCTGACAGCCTCCAGCCCCCCACAGCTGCTTCTGTGCTCACCTGCAGTCCTACGCTTGCTAACCAAAAGCTGCCTCCTTTTCTCCTTTCCTACAACAGCAGCAGCAGATTGTGGCTTCTTCCCTTCTAACCCCACGGCAGGCCAAATGACCATTTCAAAACTGACTTGCTCGAACTATTTATCATCATCTAGAATGACTTTCCAGGCCAGGGTCTGCAATAGAAGAGGTTTTCTTTTATTCCCTGACCTTTTCAACTACTGCAGTGGAATGGATCATTCTTCTCTGGGTTTTCTCCCAAGACCATGTACTGCAAGCCACCCAGGTGCTAGAAGCAGTTGGGTTTTCTGAAGCTCCCGGTACCACGTTGTTTCTGATTCTCCTTCAGAACTGGATAGTCATGCTAAAAGTTTGTCTCAAATTCTCAACTGACATTTCAGCATGAATTTTTACCCTCTAACTTCCCTCTCCAGAAAATAAGTTACACTGGTGCAAAAGATTGGCATTACGTGGTAACAGAAAAAAGAAATTTAACTCTGAAGATTAATTAGGCAAGCCACTAATGAATTCTATCATCACCTTAACAGTCTCATTTCTAACTTTTCCAATTACTTTTATTACAGTAGGACTGCTTGCCACCGCAGTCTCATAGAAAAGGCATTGTGACTGAAGTCCTCCCCTGCGAGACCTAGTTACTTCCTCTTCTACTTAAGCACTGCTAACCAATGGCTTACCTGCTGGCTGCAGGAAAGGAGGAAGACTTTTTTTTTTTCTTTTTTCACTTGTATGAAATTCACCACAGATTAATTTATCAACCCACAACAGTTCAAAAGCTAGGAAGCATCTGGAACGATAATATCCGTGCTCTCTATCGAAGGCTCGCTGTCGCTTAAACAAGTGTAAACACTCTGAAACCTCTAAGTGGAAAATTCATTAACGTCCTGTCATGAAAATAAAACTGAGGGGGACTCTGGGAGGCCAGAGAAGTTGTCTGAATTTGCACTGAACTGCAAAAATAATTACCAGTTTCAAACGACTGGTTTAGGATGACATGTTTCTGCATGTCACTACTTCCTACGGAATGCCCACACTATGTCATCTAACTTTTAGGTCACAATCGAGCTTGAATTATTAATACTGCTGTTGTGTTTAGAGGTGATGAAAAAGTTACTGAATCTGACTGATCTCTTAGTACAGTAGTGCGTTATCTACACTCACTCCCCTTCAAAAATTATTTCAGGCCATTCGAGTCTAATTACAAAACGTTACAGACACATTTTGTTCCAGATGTGGACTCTGCAGTCTTTTTTGCTCATGCTCACAATTATTACTGAAACAGTAGTTTCCCAAAGCACAGAGTCATCTTCACATATCCTGAAGTTGTCGGAATCTCTTCTGAACGCAGGACACTGGCAAAAGCCAGCATTTTCTGATCAAGGTGCTTTACCAGCTTCAGGTGTTGAAAGGGGATTAACAATCGAATAGTTATATATGTCTTCTCATTTTGAAAGCTGCATCATCACCTTATTAATGTTAGAACTTGGAAGGTGAGTCAACATGTGAATACTGATAGTATTTATACTGCTAGTATTTAAAGAACTCTTCAAGTGGCTAGAAACAACCAACAGAGAAGGTATATGAAGCCATTACAGGAAATCAGTCTTTCTTAATTTTAACCTAAACACCCTGAATTTTCTGTGGCTATGCCTGGGCCACAGCAAAAGAATGAACCACAGATGGCCGTGCGATTCCAGAGGGGGACCGGGGGATGTGATATATTGGCATACCTTCCCCCAACCTGCCCTGAGTTAACAGCTGATACCTTGGAGGAAGGATGCCTGGGAATTCTCTCATCATTAGTGTAACGCTGTGGATGCCGAAACATCACCTTCCCCATTGTTGCGTCAGGCTATACACTTGAGTGGCAACATCGTGTTTGGGAACGGAAGTGTGGCCAAGAAGTCACGTGGACTAGGAGTCAGTCAAACCATGATCTTGAGAGATTACATTGCTTGCTGGCTACTAGTGCAAGTGTGCATGTGCACATGTGTAGGGAGTTATCTTTAAAAATAAACAAGCCTTGGGAAAAAAAAAAACACCTTAGCTCCCTGGTCTGTGTGTGAAAGAGTCATTACTGATATCCAGAACTGCAGTTCAGCTGCCAGAGGCCAAACCTGCCAGGCTAGGCTTTTTTCCAACAGCCCACCCAGCCTGAAAGTCAGATGGTTTCGGAGACAACCGGCTGCCATTCTCTCCCTACAGTGTTTGCAATCTCCTGACAAGCTACACAAAGCAAAGGCTGTTCTTGGATAGACATGAATTGAGGTTGGGGCAGGGAAGAGGAGCAATGGTCAATGGCAGTTACCACATCTAACCACTACAAACTGCCGACTCTCCTTCGGGTTTCTTGGGATTATCACCCGTTTCCACCTTGTGCACACTGCAACACAACGCAGCAGAAGTTGTTGGTCTCTTGTGCACACTGCAACACAACGCAGAAGTTGTTGGTCCAACCTGTAGTGTACACAGGTGCAAGACTTGGAATTAAGGGGAGGAAAAAAACACTCTCGCTGGTTTCAAAACTATGCGGTTCCCTGAAAAATCGTTATTCCTACCCTGAATGCCCACACACTTGCTCTGGTTCACTAAGAGGTAATCTGGAGTCCCATCTGTTTTCCAGAAATCAGAATCATTCCGGTTTACCATACAGATCTCTCGACTCATGCTGGTGCGATTCCTGAGTATGGAGATCTTCATTCTCTGAGGACCAGTCCGAAGCTAGGCTGGTGCGATACAGACCAATCTGGAATTACTTGGGTTCATAGAGGGCCGATGCAAAGTCATTTTGATGACTAACTGCTGGGTTCTGGGTGCAGCTCCCTCTGCACTGATGACCACAGGGGTTTGGAGGGAGTTAAGGGTTTCCTTCTGACTGAGCGATCCCAGTAGAGCAGAAAGTTAGAGAGCAGCCCTGCAAGTTTCATGCCATTCTCGACTCATCTTTCAGTGATGCTTTCCAAGATGCCAATCAAATTGTCCAATCCCAGTAAGTACCCATCCTCCCTGTTGCCTTCCTGCCAGGGGATCCTGTGATCCAGTGTCTGCCCATCAGGGAGAAGGGTGGTCTTCCCAAAATCGATCAGCCATACATTGGCATTCCCACTGCCATCGTGTACAAAAAGTAGTGAACTTCCAACGACCTGGAAGACAGATTGAGATGATGTCATTAAACACACATCTTTAGCTCTCCCCCATCAATTAATGCTTCCTACTAAGATGATGACCTCCTCACCTATCACCCAACAGACTTCTGGGCTGCACTTACACACTGACATAGCCACATCAATTAATAATGTATAAATGGGCCTGCAGATGGGAAAAGGGACCCAGCAGACAAAGGGAAGAAAAGTAATTCTCCAGCTCACTTAGCAGCCAGTCTCACTTTGAGCAATTCAGCAAAGTGACTGCTTTCAAAGAAAGACCATGACCCATAATTAATCAAAATGACTCTAGTGACAAGAGAAATCAACAAGACAAAACAAAATAGCTGATCTCAAATTATTGAGCTGTAATGAGCAGAACTTACAGTGCTAACGACGCCCTCTGCACAGCAAGGCACACACAGAGATCATACAGAGCAGAACTATACCACGTTTCAACCTAAGTCCAGTATAGCTAATGAAGTCTTCGTTGTCAAACGACAACTGAATGCTACTGTGCCAAATGCAAACTTCCACATTACCATTCTCCCGCAAAGACTGCCACTGGAACACACTGTGATTAGAGAAACCACAGGAAACTGGTACTAATAAACCATCGCCTGCAGTGGCCCAGAGTCGTTAAGTCCTGGGATGTTATAAAGATGGGAGGATTTATTATTCCTCAACTGGTTTAATCTTGTATCGTTGTGATGGAGGTTTGAAGGTGTAGCTGTTGTTATCACAGATTAGTTTTCTTCTGCTACAAGCTCCTTTCTACCAATACAGCAGGTGATTCTGAAGTACACCTGAATGACCAAAGGAAGCAGCAACGCACCTCCACAGCGTTACACTCACTGCTCACCTCGTGTCGCTTGAAGAAGTCTGAGGATTCAAGAATGATATGAATTTCCTGCAGACGCTTGAGGTATTTTTTCTGGAGGAAGAGGAGAAAAAAAACTACTGGTTAACGTTTAAGTAAAGAATGAATGAAGATACTCTGTTTACAAGAGTCAATATAATTAAGAGATGGTGTTAATTTTGTTGATTTTAGACTAGAGATCCTTCAAAACACCAGGTTCATCAATTGAAAGTCGGTCTGAAAACACACTTCAACATGCTTTCATAGCGAACGAAGGGACAGGAGTTCCTCTGCTGCATGCGTTACCCCAAGCACACTTACCTGTCCTGCTTTGGATGCAGTGAGACACCATCTGGCTGCACCCTTCCTGCAGCCCTTTTTTTTGTTTTTAATTTTTAATAAAGAGAAAAAAAAGTTTCAAGCAATTTAAAATCTTGTTCTCCACAGTGAAAAGAGAATGAAATTGTGAGAGAGAGACAAGGAGCTCCAACCATGTTGGGCCGGGAGGGGGCAGGGAATTACAAAAAAATAATCAAGGCCTAATGCATGAAGCTGTAGCACACATTTTTAATGCTGCCTGTGTTACCAAGCACACGCCTCCTGGAGGCTAATCGGCCCTCACACTGGCTTCTACACTGCAGCCCAACACCATGGCACCCTTGGAAGTTCCAAAGACAAGAGACATGTTATGCCAAGTGCCTGCTGTGCTGCCCGCAAAGTAGCCTACAGGACTTGCTCTTTGAGGCTCACGCAAGGAGCACAGCCAGCCACCAGTCTCCCTTCCTGCCCCCATGCTCCAGTGTTATCCTCTCCATAATGAATTCCCAAATCACAACGCAAGCCTCAGACACCGTCATCCCGCTGATGCATCTAACGCTCACGGTCGAAGCTGACTGCAGGTCATGAGTTGGCTTGACTGGCGTTCTGTTAGCATGAGGAACGTGAGGTGAACTCACAGCAAGAGCTGCCAGAACTGGTCTCAGCCAACTACTTCTCACAGCCCACCAAGTCCTCATGTCCACTCCCTCTGCCAAGAGCAACTCCAAACCATTTTCTTCTTTGATAGTTTAAATGGTCTTTCCTGTAGCAGAGGACACATGGCCCTGAAACGTGTTCATCGGGTCAAAGATCAGTGAAGCTGAAGAGGTCGGACTCACCAGAATAGTTGTGTTGCCCTCAATGAATTCCACAAAAACCTGTAGAACTTGCTCCTGTGTCTTTGTAGTTTTGAAGTTTGTGTTACACGTTCCATCCGCTTTCTGCACAAAGAAGCACAGAGACAATTTATACTACACACGTATCATTCCCCCTCATCAGTCAATCCCTCTGAACCACCAGCAGCTCAGCTCTTGCTAACCAGATGAAAGTGAGTAGTTGAACAGGAAGAGAGCAGATAAACCAAGCAAGAAGCGGAGAACAGACACAAAAGCCGATTGGATAACTTGAAATGGCACTGCATTTCCTGCTGGGCGCAGTTTAAAAAAAAAAAAAACTTCCCATGATACTACCAGCTTGCAGGAGGGTTTTCTCACATGTCAGTACAAAGTTCAGTGGGGCAAACCACAGTGACCTCTGACTACACCAAGCTAGATGAGAGGCCAACCAAACCCCGACTGGGGTGTAAGGGGACATTTTCAAACCCCATTTCGCTAGTCCTTTTTGTGTGTTTCTGTTTTGCTTTGCTTTTCAATGGGGAAATCAAAGCACTGTGGTAAGGACTCAGCTCCCAGTATACCTCTGCACATCAACGTGACCCAGAAGTCACAGAACGGAAAGCAGTTCACAGCCAAGAACGACCCTGGATTCACGGTGCTAGCAGCAACAAAGCAGGCGTGTGGGTTTTGGCAAAGGACGGTGCGCGCTCGCTTATATTCAACCGGGTCCTGGCGAAACTCAGACTACTTTTGTGCTGGCAGTACGACTCGGTATGGAAGCATCCTGCTACTGACAAAACAAGTCGTCTCACCTGCTGGTAGTGACCGGTTTGTGCTCGTGGGGCTACAAGAGCAGTGCACAAATCGGCAGTATCTGTCAACACAGACTGAATATGCATTTCTCTGAGAACATCCCTCTTGATTCAATGGATATAAACATGAGCTTTTAGGACATGCATGTAAAATACAGCTGTTACTGTAGCTGGCAGCTGTATCCATTAAAAGCCTGCAATGTTATCAAACTGTATTCTTCTCCATCAAATCAGTCCAATGAAATCCCTCTTTTCCATTACAAATGAACAGGTCATCAAAATGTGTTCCCTCCCACATGATAACAGTCACAGCACCAAAACTGGGTAAATTCAGTTCCAGTCTAGCAGGTGAAACACTGCTCCACAGCAGAATTCGGACCCTTGTATATACACACACACAAAAAATCTGATAATGCTGCATTTCCAGATTTGTCATGCAAGAGAATGAACTGACTGAATGGCAAAGCCATGCAGAACAGCCTCCCACCTACCAGACTTTCTAGCAGCAGAATAAACAGAATTTTATTCCAAGGCTGTGGGCCAGATACAAGTGCGACGTGTCAGCCTGATGATTCGGACCCTTGTATATACACACACACAAAAAATCTGATAATGCTGCATTTCCAGATTTGTCATGCAAGAGAATGAACTGACTGAATGGCAAAGCCATGCAGAACAGCCTCCCACCTACCAGACTTTCTAGCAGCAGAATAAACAGAATTTTATTCCAAGGCTGTGGGCCAGATACAAGTGCGACGTGTCAGCCTGATGAGATGTGTAAGTTATGCAAGAGAAGTTCAGCTCAGGTAGGCAGTGAAGTAAGGAGCCATCTGATCTCATCTAGGGTAACACTCAACAGCACATAGAAATTTGGAACTTAGTTTGATGCCTCGCACCTCTTCACCAGAGTAAGGTTGTTTTAAAAATAATTTCTCCCTGTGCCCCAAATCCCAGAGCAAAGTCCGGAATCACTGCTGTGTGTTCCCTTCTCCTCCTTTTTTTGTCTCGCAGACTAATGGCTTGCTTCCCTGTTGTTTAGAAACACTTCTATGACTTTGTTCCTTTGCAGTGGTGGCAGGAAGCTTAGCTGCTGCCTGACTTCACCTGCTGTAAACAACATCCAGATTTTGCATGGCACTATCTTGGGTAATCCATACCCCGTCCTTGCAACGACTCTGGACATACCTGATCCCCAGGAGGCACTTGCCTGACTCAATCCTTTCGGTCGTACCTTTGTCGGGGGCCCCCCCAGACATTCCTCACCGCAGAACAGCCCGTGGCATGTGCAGCTAGCGGGCCCCTTGCAGCGCTCCTCGTGAGCTGTGACAGTGGCGTGGCTAGCAGGACGACAGGTCTGGCTGCTCCATAAAACAGCGCTGCCTATCTTAACTTCCGTGGCTTCGCTCAGGCTCCTCTGCAGACTTCCCCTAAAGGGCTCTGGGTTAAGGTCATGATCTAAATGGATTCACAAAGACTTATGAGCCAGATCTGAAGTCCTCCTGCAAAAATGGCTATCCCTGATCTACAGTTGAAGGAAGGGTACCAAAGGAAGAAGTAACTTGCCAAACTGCACAGGTTCAGTGGCAGAACGGGAAGCAACAACTCCTGATTCTCAGCCTCCTGCATCTCTGCTCTGCAGAACTATTAGTGCTGTAGAGACGATGATGTTTGTGATGCTGAAGCCTTCAGACAGCCCCTGCCAGAGGAGAAACCTCCATCCTGAACCTGGCAGGCAGAAGAGGCTGTGTGTCAGGTGCCAGCTGTAAGGAAACCCAGGGTTTCCTTACAATTTTTGATAAGAGGAAGAGGGAAAAATCCCATAAGCAAACCTGGCCTGCTTTCAGAGATACGAAAGCGAGGTGAGGATCAGCCTAAAGAGAAAAGGCACCCCACTGACAAAGGTGGAGTGCATCAGATCTCATTTATTGGTAGTCACTTCACAGAAGGGCTTCTATGATTTCAGTTTCCTTGCTCCTGCTTCTTACTCCAGCAGCCAGAGAGC